CTGGATTTGCTGAGTCACGTGGTGAACGTGTGGAAACTTTGGCGAGACTGCCAGCTGCGCTTTCTTCCCGGCTTTGTGGATTCACACCCAGCACTTTCTATCCTTGTGTTATGGCCCCGCATCCAGCCAAGGGCTGAGCTCCTTCAGTCACGCTGCCCTGGCTCTACCTAACCTCCTCTGTACTTCACACCTGGGAGGCTCCTGTGCCTCCTGAGGGGGAGCCCTCTACGGCCAACACCTCAGTCACAAGGAAGGGAGTTTCACCATCCCAGAGCTCAGGCTACATATGCAGTAATGACAATGAAGCTTCGGCTGAGAACCCTCACCTCCTCCCTTGTTCGTGCTCCACCTGCTACCTGAGTGCTCCCTAAAGCAAATCTATCCGAGATACCTGAGTCTAGTAAGCCTACCTGACACCGCCCATGACCTCTCTACTGGCTCATCATGCTGAGCACCACAAACTAACCCAGCAGAGACCATCTGCTTGGCCAAACTTCCCTCCCTGCCTTGGGGTAGGCCACTCCCTCCTCAAATGTGATTTCCTCCCTTTCCGCCCTAGTCGGGAAGAACTGCCTGACTGGCCTCCTCCTTGGTCCTGTGCTGGCCTCTGTCCAGCCCTCACCGCCCTCATCTGGGAGTGCCTCTTGGCTTGAACTGGCTTAACGTTCCGTTCACCTTTGAATCTGAGAAACTTGGACCCGCCTGTTTTTTTTTAGTAGGTTGCTCTTGCTGTGAGTTGGGGGTGGGGTGATAAATGAAGGGATGAAGGAGGCTGAGTGTCTACTGCTTAGGTAGGAGAGGGGCAATCGTGGTGACCTTGCCAGCTGCCCCAAGTCTCCGCAATAATGGGAGGGAGGGGCAGGCACTCCCTTGACTGAGCTGTATTTTATTTTCCTGCCACAGAGATACCGACCTACATTTCCCCAGGCGTGTGTGTGTATCCGGCACTGCTCTAGCCATCAGCAGAAGTATCAAGCTTGTGTTGTAAAAGTAGGGGTAGGACAGTTCTTGAAATTCAGGGCGAAAGCTCCAACCTGAAGATATAGGCCACAAGTCTCCATTTAGAGAGCCAGGGGTGAGTGGAAGGCTCACTGTCGCTTGTCTCACCACCAACCTCTAGGCTTGGAAGGTGATAACTACCTTTGCCCACAGGAGAGATGGCTCAGAAGTTAAGAGCACTGGCTGCTCTCCCAGAGGGCCTAGGTTTGATTCCCATCACCCACATGGCAGCTCACAGCCATCTGGAACTCAAGTTTCAGGAGACCCAATGCCCTTTTCTGGTCTCTGCATGAGGTGCACATGGACAAAACACCCATACGTGTGTGTGTGTGTGTGTGTGTGTGTGTGTGTGTGTGTGTGTGTGACAGAGAGAGAGAGAGAGAGAGAGAGAGAGAGAGAGAGAGAGAGAGAGAGGGAGACCCTCTCATTGGATGGCCGACAAGGCTGAGGTTCACTGGCTTTGTCTCAGTTCTAACCTTTATGACAGTTTTATCTCGGGTCCTGAGTGATGTCCTTGAAGCAGTAAGGACATTTTTATCCACATCCTTATTAATTTCTCTTTTCTATAAAGATTCATTACTTTTGAAATGTGGAAGGGTATTAATAGATATTATTTAGAAATTAACTTATAATGGCTGTAATATAAAAATAATATACACACTTTCATACAAGGAAGTGAGGGCAAACCTTGGAGAGCAGAGCCCACGCAGACTAGGAATACACTGCACTGAGCTGTCTGGCTTTCCCTTAACACTCCATCACAGGGTGATGAACAAGATTTTATAAACCCCTTGGCACCGAAAAGGAGCTCTTCTGGCTCAGGGGAGGAAAATGCCTGGGTGCCACAGGTGATCCAGGGTGGCCAAGCTGCTTACACCACTATTTCCAGAGGAAAAATAAAGCCAGTAGTTAGCATTCTCTTTATTGAAAATTTCCCATATGGTGTTGTCAGGGGCTGGGGAGACAGCTCAATCGTAGAAGATTCCCCAGCATATGAGGCTCTGGTTTCCACCTGCAGCACCGCAAAGCAAAACTTTGAAACATATGGCTCCCACAGTTACTGGACTAGATTGGAATCTTGTGAGAACGAGGTCAGTACTAGCTATATTGTTTTATTCTCTTTATTTGTTAACAAAATTCTCATTTATTTATTTATACACAGGGTTTCACTATGTAGCCTTGGCTGGCCTGGAGCTTGTTATGTAGAACTGACTGGCCTTGCATTCACAGATCCGCCTGCCTCTGCCTTCTCAGTGCTGGGGTGAAAGGTATGAGCCACACAACCAGCTTGATTATCATCAAAGAATATGCCAATTTTCCAGAACAAAGACTACAGCATCAGGGGTCCATAAATTCTCCAGAAGATTCTGCAACACACCAACCCACCCTTGTGGCATGTTCTGAGTCTTAGACTTTGCTGGAAGTAGAGACAATAATACTACCAAGACAAAGCTCCCAGAAGCAACATACCTCAGACCACTCAACTCAGAATCTGAAAAGTCCTAAGACATTAAAGTTGTCCCAGGTGACTTCAACGTTAAGCCTGCTCTGCACCCTTGTTTCTAATGAGAACTTGATACCCACCCCCACCCCTCTCCACCCTACCCCGATAACTCACACCCAGTCTAAATGACTTTGTGTTCTCTGTCTTCACCTGCTGGCCATTTTACCAAACTGCAGGAGTTCAACTGTGCTATTGGTATAACCAAGACCTTGCTACTTTGTAAAAAGTTTGCTAAATGGATAAAAAAGAACCAATGAGATGAAACTATTAAGTAGTAAGAATGTAAAAAAATCATACTCTTTCCTATAACAAGGTTGTCTAAGAGTTTTAAATACATGAGGATAAAGCATGTGAGAGACTGGGGAGGATTTGGGAAATGAAAGGCAGCCAGTGTTACTTACTGCCATTATAGTTAAGCATAAATTATTACCCCTCTGTTTTGTAACAGTGATTCATTTTCAATGAATTGTTTTAATTTAGTCAAAGTCCTATTTTCCTGATGTAGTGTTGACTATGGGTACTTAGTGGTGAGGGTTGGTGGGAGGGGGATACAGGTCTTGGGGCTAGAGAGATGGCTTAGTGGTTAAAAGTACTTGTAGCTCTTGCAGAGGACCCAGATTTAGTTCCCCTTGAGGTGAACCCTGACATCCATACCAGAGACCCAGAAACCAAAGGTTTACAAAGCAATGTGAAGTTTTATTCAAGATAAGCAAAAGACAGGAGCAGATCATGAAATGAACCATCAGATCCTATCTTGCAAGTAGTTTCACCAAGATACAAATCGTTGAAAGCTCAAAGAGCCAGGGTGTAACTGCCCGTTCTGCCCCACATTTGGGGGCCACTTTGTCCCGGCCCAATCTGCTGCTCCAGTCTGTGGATCAGAGTCTAGCAAGAGAGAGAGAGTGGGGATGGAGGGTCGAGAGACACAAAGAATGGAGACAAGACAGAGGGGCTGATCAAGTCTCTCTTTTAGTGAAAGGAAATCCTGGGTATTGCCTTGCCCTCATGAACAAGCAGGGGAACACAGCTGAAGGCACTTTGCCACGTGCCTTGTAGCCATGCATACCACGTGCGCCTTGTGGCTGGGGTCACTAAACAGCAAAACAAGATATGTGAGAAAAACAAGATGTTTATCAGAGTGTGCTCAGCTGTTGTAGGCTGTTGAAAACAAGTCTCTTGTCAGGGTATATGGCTCGAGATGGCTGCAAAGATGATAGCCGCTTTCTGCTAGGAGTCGGCTCCCAACACCAGGGCCTGTCAGATTCTCTGTCCTAGGAAAGTCTGTGAAAGAACCTAACACTGAGGACACACTGGGAAGGGGACGTCCCACCGGTGCGGAAGTCATGCAGGGTCAGGATCAGGATGCCTGCACCCTCCATTTCAGAATCACCGCTGAGGGAATGCAAGCTCACACAATGTGTTGTGTGGGCCCCCAACTGTGCAGATGGACCCCTTTGAACAGGCTAGCCCTCTACCATTGGAACGTGAAGACATTAGTCAGTGTGGGTGTATGTTCCCCAGTCACTGACTACACAGCAGTTTCTGAACTGCCAGGATAGAAGAGGAAAAAAAAATTGAAATTAGAGGTAAAGGTGAAAAATCAAAGATCTATGCATGCCCTTAAGTAATTGTGTACTTCAAGCTAAATGATAACTTTGGCTTCTATTATGTTTCTTGAGTGTGTGTGTGTGTGTGTGTGTGTGTGTCTGAGGTGGTTGTCAGGATTCACTCTCCATTGGTCTCCACCTTATAGTCGCTGAGGTGGCGTTTCTCAACTGAACCCAGAGCTTGCTGTGTTTGCTCATATGATGTCCATCTGTTTTTTTGGTGGCTTCTGGGGATTCAAACTACAGTTCTCACGCCTGCACAAGTACGTTTACCACTGAGCCATCTCCCCAGCCCCTGCTGGGTGTTTCTGTTTGTTTGAGACAGACTCTCTTTATGTAGCTCAGGTTCACCTGGAACTACGCGGCGAAGGATAGACTTATAAACTCCTGGCCTTCCTGCCCTGAGTCCTCAGAGCAGGGATTTCAGGTGAGGGCCACACCTAGCATTACTTCAGATTTCTGAGACAGGGTTTTGATATATAGCCCAGGATGACCTCAAGCTCGCCCTTCTTCTACCTCGGCCTCCAGGGTGCTGAGATAACAGAAATGTGCAACCATGCCTAGCTAGCTTAAATCTCACAATTAAACAAATATCACTAGAGCCAATCTCTGCTTCTTTTAATTTATCCCACATCAGATATAAGTGTGAAATCCTTTCTTTCTTATATAATCCTACATTTTGGATGGAAATAATTTTACTGTATTATTCCTGGTCAAAAGTGCAAAATCTAAATGTAAACAATTAACCAGCCAGAAATTACTTTAACAAGTATTTGACATTAATAAATAGATTTAAAAATCTCTCATTGAAACCATTGACATTATATGAATAACCATTGACATTATATGAATAACCATTGACATTATATGAATAACCTAAAACATACAAATTAAAAGGTGGCCAAACAGCATATTTAATGTATAGGACCGTATTACCCTGAAGGTCATTTGTGAATTTAGACAAAAGTTGGTGTTGCTGTGGCCCAGGCTCCTGGACTGTGGGGAGGTGGAAGAGCCCTGGGGTGCATGCAGGTGCCGGGTGAGCAGCTGCATACTCATCAAGGGGTGCTCTTGCAGGAGTCTGGCTGCTGCAGCTGTGCTGGCAGACACTTCACGAGGCCTGTTCTTCTTCTTGCTGTGCTTTTATAAAAAATCAGTTTGTTATTAAAAAACAGTCTTGAAAACACAATTCTAATAAGATTCTAATTTCTAAATTTATTTTCTTTCTTTTTGAGACTAAAAGACGTCCAGTTGTTCGGGCCCAGGCTTCATAGATCCTGACTCCTTGTACCTTAGATGTCTGTGTTAGAATGGCCAGTAATGGAACCACTCTCCGAAGTGGTGGAGATACTAGCCCGTTCTAAATGCTGACAGATGCTCCTGCCCTAGAATGAAACTCCACGTACAAATGCACAGGCTGAGTGTCTGATTCCCACTCGTGACGTGTGAGGGAGGGTGGAAAGTCACTGATCTGAGGGCCCACGGAGCACCACTTGTCCTCCTGAAGAGTCACAATGAACGGTCAGGATGTCCTCTAAGAAACCCATGATGACCCCTCTGGCTGTGTCTCCAGCCAGTGCCTGCACACTGTGTATGTGCTTCAGGGCCAGTCTGACCATCTGGTCTCTTTCCTGTGGGGTGTGGACTGCTCCGGGATCATCTTCCTCTGTTCCCGATTTTAAGAACTGTAGGATGTAGGACTGGATCATATCTCCGTTCAGCTTAAGAGTTTCTTGAATGCAGGGCAGGTCTGAGGCACTGGCTAGGCTCAGGAGGTGAAGCAGTGCCTGGCAGATGTGAGTCCGCAGGCTGGCACAGTACTTGAACTCCAGGAAGTCTGTAGTGTCTTCGCTCTTCTGCAGGGCAGTGACCAGCGCACTCCAGATCTGGGTGAACTGTTCTACGGACCCGTACCGTGCTCTCTTGCCCGGAACAGAGAGGGCTGCAGCAGATCTGATGCGCACTTTGAAGTTCTTGCATGACATCACAACTGATGTCAGGGCTTTGTAGGCCTGGGAGGTCCACGGGGCTGTTCCTAGGAAGAAGTCACAGTCACTACAACCAGTGAAGGTTTAGAGACAAGCAGGGTGGGCAGGAAGGGTTGGGGGGAGCGTGGATTTTGTATTTGCTCCACTCTCATGATTACTCCATGTGCTAGAGTTATAACAAGAACGGCCCCATAGGCTCACGTACTTAAATGTTCAGTCATCAGGGAACTAGCACTATTTGAGAAAGATTAGGAGGTGTGGCCTTGTTGGCAGGCATGTGTCATGTGGGGTGGGCTCTGCAGTGCCCATGTCAGGCCCAGTCTCTCTCTGCTTGTGGATCAGAATGTGGCTCTCAGCTACCGATCCCAGCACCACATATGCCACCATGATGACAATGGACTACATCTGTGTAAGTATGCCTGCAGTGCAATGCTTTCCTTTACAAGTGTTGCGTTGGTCATAGTATCTCTTCACAGCTACAGAACAGTGACTGAGACTCCTCATTAGACCAGGGCAGCAAAACCAACCTGGTGGATCCCAGGGAAGGGACTATTTCCCTAGACAAACCTGAAGCATGACTTCTGTCTGTCCAACAGGGCAAAGCCTGGCCAGAGGAGAAGGATGGAACTGTACTCACTGCTCCTGGCAGCACGAGGCTGTGGACTGTGGGCAGCAGCCCCATTCCTGCTAGAACCGGGCAGCAATCCGCCATGGCACATCATGTATTTTATTGTTACAAGTTAAACACACTTCTAGCTTCAAGAATAAGATGCTCACATCTTTTTCCCATTTCTGTGGCCACCCCCAAATTAGCGCATTTCCACCTCCTTAGAAGTGCTGGCTTAGCATCTTCTTAAATGGTCTGGCTGGAGTGTCTTTCCTAGCCTGTCCCTTTATTTGTTGCTCCCAGAAAAACAGACTCTTCCCGTTCTGTGAATGCTAGTGATATTTACAAGGGCCTCAGGTCTCACTGTCCACAGTCTGTTCCTGCTTCAGGCTCACAAGCTCCCTCACAGCTCTGCCCCCAGCAGTGTCTCCACTGTCTCTCTGGGGCTGCTCTGCCAGGACATCCTGGGAGGTACGGACACTGTGCCAGCTGCCCCTCACATGGTGCTGCTCTGCTGGTCTACATGGTTGTCCCCCTCCAATACTCCCTCAGGGACACACCTTTAGCTCTCCAGTGTGATGGAGGCAGAGACACAGAGCCAGTGCTGGCTGGCATTCCCAGTGGCTAGGGTTGTACGCAGAAGCTGGTGGCCCAAGACAACGTGCCGAGGAAGACTCGTGGTGCTCAGGGCAGCATGATGGACAGAGAAGCCCTGAGCATCCTTTTCTGAACCCAGAACTTGTGAGATTTGAACCTGTACCCTCTGTTCCAGAGGCAACTCTAAGGACTTGGCCAATTTCCTTTCTATCTTTTCTCCTAAGTATTTAATGAGGTGATACAGTAGAAATGAGTTAAACTCCCATTTTGTTTGCTTAACATAAGTATTTTCTCAGCTTAAAAAAAAGCAGCTTTGTAAATACACTTTTTAAATGGCAGTAAAATACCTCATCAAACACTGACTTGTTTCATTGTTCCACCAAACCTAGTTCCTGCTGTTTTTCTACTCTTGTGACAAAAGCCCAGATGACAAATATGTTTAGCAACAGCACAGGCTGGTATATTCCTTCCCCATAGGCTCTTGACAGGCAAGGGGAGGGAGACCATCTTACCAAGTGGAAGAGCAGGGTTTTTAAAAACATTTCCCATCGCATAACAAGCATTCCACCGGACTTTCATGGCAGCGTCATTCACAACAGTGGAGATCAGAGCCTGGATGGACTCCTCGATGATTTCAGCGAACCTGGGTCTTTCTATGTGAGAGGGCTGTAGAAAATGGAGCAAATTCCCGAGGGCCCGGACCGCATTGCTTTTGACCTGGAATGAAACATAAAAGGTCTCAGAGTTATTTTACCATAGATGTTTCAGTATAAATTCCACCTTTAAAAAGACCACCCCAGGTTATGGACCCAGAGAGGGCGCCGAGTCCAAGAACTGTACATGCTCACCCAACCTAACACCAGAGCCCATGCTTTTTAAATGTACCATGTAACTAACAGGCACACTTGGGCTTTTTATCTTTCTTGTCAATTCCACTTAAAGATGCATTTGTTTTCTTTTCTTTCCATCTGTTTAAATAGCAGATAAACATGACTATATCATGCAGTAATATCAACAACAAGGAAATGCTGGCACTTCCCATGGGACACAAGGCAGCAGAATAAATTGTCTGAGTGTACAGTGGGCAGCACTGGCCAGAGCTCCTGCCGACACAGGACGGCTGACAGTCAGATGCCCTGCTGGAGCAGCTGTGCTTAAGTGTGTACCCTCGCCATCTTGCAAGTACCTTGTCTTTGTCCGTGGAGGCTTGTATTGCAGTCTGCAACATTTTCAAGAGCAGGAGCCCAGAGAACTCATCCTGGAAACTTGGGTCCGGTGTGTCCCTGCCCCACCCAGGGCACAAGGTGGGATAAGAAGAAAACACCACTTAGAAGTGTGCATACAAAGACAGAGTCACCAAGTACAGAGGGTAAAAACGTGAGGAAAACAGCTTGACATCTTTTCAGATCACGCCAAGAACTCACGCATCTTTCTTGGCTTTGTTTGTTTGTTTTTTGAGCCAGGGCTTCATTACAGAACTTAGACTGGCCTGGGATTTGGTGTGGAGCCTATGATGACTTCGAATTTGTGATCCTCCTGACTCAGCCTCCTGAGTGCTGGGATGACAGGCACATGCCAACACACCTAGGTGTCAATCCAGCAGTCCCACACTTAAGAATATAACCACAGAGGTTATCTCAAAATGGACATTTCATGGCTGGAAGTGTTCTGTCTGTAGACATCTGCAGGCCCAAGGCCTAAAACAAGCACTCAGGAAGGGGATGGATAAGGATGCATCCCTCGGCGGGGTCTGTGTGGCAGGTGTTTATTATACACCCAGAGCAGAGAATGGCCCTGTGTGCCTCACGTGACTCTTATGCAGAGCTACGTGACAGAAAGCATGCTGCAGTCAGCTCTAGTGAGAGGAATGGGGTGTTGTGGGAAGGAGGCAGATTCTATACTGAACACCCCTCAGTACTGTTCAAAATCTTTTGACCTGTGAGTATATTGCATACATACATATAGACACACAGACACACAGACACACACACTTTAAATGTATGTATGTATGTATGTATGTATGTATATATTTTCTTTCTTTCTCCAATGGAGTGTCCTGGGTATATCAGCTACATTCCAGGGCAGGTTCCTGTTTTTTTGAGGGAGGGAGAGAGGGAGAGGGAGAGGGAGAGGGAGAGGGAGAGGGAGAGGGAGAGGGAGAGAGAGACTGAATATGAAGTTGGATGGGTAGGAGGGGGGAGGATATGAGAGGAATTGGTTGAGGGAAATATGATTAAAATATATTATATGTAAAAATATTTAATAAAACAAAACCCAAAAAAACCCTCTGCATCCTAAGAACAGGGTAACTGTTACAAAGGTTTTGGACTTCTACTGTGATATTTTCTACAATGTGGGTATATACTTATGACAGCACATGGTATTTTTGAAGATATATATATATATATACTGGGTTTATTGCTTAGAGGAATATTAAAACAAAGTAGTAAAACCGCCTGCATAATACAGATGCCACTCAGGGAAAGCAGCTGAGTCACTTACATGTTGACAATCAGAGTATCTGTCAGGTTGCCCAAGGACCAGGCTGCTTTGGCACGCACGTTTAGTGACTTATCTTGAAGTGACATCAATATAGCATTTGCTGTGTCTGCAACAAATATGACGTCCTGTACAACAAACCAGGCTATATTACTAAGGAGTTCACACTGCTGCCTCTGAACTTTACAGCTTATTTTCACAGAAAGCTATAGGCCTTTATGGTAATTTTGATTTTGATTCAAGTTTGCTGTGGAGTCACCGAGCGCCTGCGACGGTCACCTGTGTGTTCTGTGCTCGGGCTGACTTCCACCTCCTTCAGCAACGTTCTGACAGTGAAAGCGTCTCCCAAACGTACCGCTTCTCAATCACTGCTCCTTCTCATCCTCTTTTTAACCCTTAGTCAGTCATTCACTAATTAAACATTTGCTGCACACTAAAGTCCCAGGCAGTGTGTCAAATAATTGGCAAACGAACCGCAGGTGCTGCGCAGTGTAATAGCAGCCAAGGAAATCTGATCACATAACAGGCTAATTTCCTTCACTGTCAGCTCAGAAGCCTCAAGCCCACAAATGCTCTAGTAGTATAGGTGCTGAGGAACTGGAGGAGGGCATGCCAAGCTTCCTCTCACCTGTCTGAGGCAGGGGAAAAGCACATAGACTCCAAGGGCCCTGGAGGTGGCGGCTTTCACTAAATGGTTCTTGCTGTCGTTCAGGCCAAGCAACATTGTAATGCACAAAATCTGCTTGTCATTCTGCAACGAGAAGGTTCAAAAAAGGAACTGTGAGAAGGAAGAACTGTGTGCCAGTCTTCCGTGAGCAGCTGTGGGGAGACCGCCTGTGCTGTGTTAAACCACCGTGACCTTCAGTCAACTCTGTGTGTGTGCGCGCGCGTGTAAAGGGTGGAGCCTGACACTGGGGCAGGTGTGTCAGCAGAGATTCTGGGTGAGGCACACAAAGAGCATCTTATTACGCTGCACCTTTCAACGATGTGAACAAGGTCACTGAATCCTTGTGCTTCATCACTGCCAGCTCCTGTATGGAAGCTAATTTACATAGCTAAGAACAGATCAAAAGGCACTGAGGAATGAGGAAGAGGAGCAGCCGAAATCAGATATAAGATCTTCACCTGGAGCGATGGAACCAGGAGGTATGGGCAGAGCGAAGACCCTGAGTCAAGGCCTCCTAACAAGGATTCTCTCCAGTTACCTCTCACATGACCCCTCTGGTAAGTGGATGATACAAAGCGTTAAAGAAACTCAAGGAGCCAAAGTGCTGGAGGAATGGCTGGGACGTGGACCAAGACTCACCTCAGGACAGGACGTGTTTCGAAGTCTGCCCTCAGAGCTGTGCCGCCCACACCGCATCCTCTAAGGCCCAGGAAGCCAGGCTTTCCTGGAGGAGTAACACTTCACTGCCCTCACTACAAACTCAATAAAAACAGCTTCCTTTTTTTTTTTTTTTTTTTTTTTTTTTTAAAGAGAGGAGGCTGAAAAGATTTCAGAACAGAGAATCACACTGGAGCCCCGCTACCCAGGGCACGGTCCAGGAGTAAGGGCACATGGCAGCTTACCGGCAGACTGCTGAAGGCCTCTGGCAAGATGGAGGACAAGGCATCGCAGGCACTCGCCTGGAGAGTCGGGTGCTCTGCTGACTGCAGGGCTCGGGGCAAAGGACCATTCAGCATCGCAGTCCAGAACATCACTACCTGGAACAGAGGCACAGTTAGAAGCAGAGACAATGGCCAATGTGGGACCTGCTGAAGCCATGCCCACTAGATGCAGCCTTGCAGATGAGGAAGGTTTTGCTGAAGTGGTAGCTGTTTGTAAGTGTTTTCACTGGTCATCTTCCACAGCAACGGAAACAACTGAAATAACCTGCCATCCAGTAGGTCACTACAGTGTAACTGAGTTGACAGCAACAGTGACAATGATGGTGGTGATGGTGGTGAGGATGATGGTGGTGATGGTGGTGGTGGTGATGGAGACCAGAGGGTAGGTAGCTTCAGGGTTAATCAGCAGTAGCAGCTTATAGTTCAACAGGGGTAAGAAGTCCTGGGGCTTCAGGTGAGATGGCTCAGTGCATAAAGGCACTTGCCGTGCAAGCTGGTGACCTGAGTTCAATCTCTGGAACCCACATAAAAGTGGCCATCGAGTTGTGGCCAACTCCACAAATTACTTTCTAACCTCCACATGTGGACATCGGCACACACGCCATATCCCAGTAATAATAATTCTGGAGTGCTATTCCCCAACAGGAACACCACAGATTTGTTCTGAATTTTATTTGTTATTAGTGTGCACACGTATGACATATGTGGACACATCTGTCATGGTGCACATGGGGATGTCAGGGGAAACTTTGTGGAGTTCGTTCCTTAAGTGGGTTCCAGGGATCACACTCAGACTGTCAGGTGTGCAGCCCTGGGCGGCAAGCACCTTTTACCCACAGTGCCATTTTACTGGTGCACCATGGTTTTCAACAGTGGAAGAAATGACATCATCCTCCCCACGTCATTACTGAGCATACTAGAACGCAGAGGACACTGGGGCTGGAGGCGGGCTTACCAGGTGGACTGGCACTCTCTGTTCAGGTGCTGTGTTGGAATCTGGCTTGTACTGCTGTATCAAGCCTGTACCCAGTTCTTCCAGGAGCTGCCAAGATACACGAAACGCACTGTCAGAGCAGAAGCTCCGCTCTGTGGAGGTCACAAACACCCTGCTTCAGTTTGTAATCATCTCAAATCAACAGCAAAAGTAGTTTCTCTTCCTTTCTTTTCCTTTTCGTTTAGTTTTTTCCAGACAGGGTTTCATTATGTAGCCCTGGCTGGCCTTGAACTTAAGAGATCCAATGGCCTCTGCCTCCTTCATGCTGGAATTAAAGGCATGTACACCACTTAGGAAAAGTAATTTCTAACTGTTTTTTCTTTTCTCAGCAACTATGACAGAGCTATTCTTTCAAGGAGTAAAACTGACACCTGATGCTGTTAGCTAACCCTGTGCAGACAAACTAGGAGAGGAATGTGCACCCCCTCACCTGAAACCTCAGAAACCACAGAAGAACACACGTCACTTGTAATGACATTACCTTCACGCCGTGGAGCTGGATGGATGGGTTTGCTTCACACACGCACTTACAGATCACCTCGCCAAGCTCCACCAAGTACAACTGAGCCATTGAAAAATAGCCTCTTGCCAGGTGAGCCAAAACCTACACAGAGAACAGGCAATTAGCTCATCTAAAGGTGGGCAAGGCTGCACAATCCAGAAGGGTTCCCACACTTCTTTACACACTCACAGCCAACATGGACTGTAAGTCTGATGCCGAGAAGTGAGAAGCAGCCGTTACCTAGATACTGCTGGCATCAGCTCCATGACACTTTACTGGTCTGCGATGTCTCACTCAAGACTAAGTCTTTGATATAGATTTTTTTGGAGTATATAGGTGGAAAGGTAAAGGGCGTGTTCGGTGTCCTCAGATGACCAACAGCCTGCTGAACCGAGCTGAGATGGCTACTCTTGGCATCAACCTGACTACATCTGAAATTAACTAAAACCCAAGCGGCTAGGTATATGCATAAGGGATTGTTTTTCTTAATTAAATCATTTGAATTGGGAAGACCCACTTTTAATCTGGATCTTCTGAGGTGGGAAGGCCCACCTTTAATCTGGGGCACACCTTCTGCTGGCAGCCTCTATAAAGGACACAGAAGAAGGAAGCTCACTCTCTTTGCCTGCTTGCTCTTACTCTTGCTGGCAAGTCTACTCCTTCACTGGCATTAGAGCTTACTTCTTTGGGATTCTGGCATATGCTGAAGACCAGCTAAGATATCCAGCCTCATGCATTGAGCAACTATTGGATTCTTGGCCTTTCTATTGGTAGACAGTCATTGTTGGGCTAGCTGGACCAAAGCCTGTGAGCCATTCTAATATTCCTTTTGTCTGTCTGTCT